AAGAGAAAAAGAAAAGAAGAAGAAGAAGAAGAAGAAGAAGAAGAAGAAGAAGAAGAAGAAGAAGAAGAAGAAGAAGAAGAAGAAGAAGAAGAACAACAACAACAACAACAACAACAACAACAACCAACACCACCACTAGCACTACCACCACCACTACCTACTCATGGAGCAAAGAAACAAATACAAAAAAATATCAGAAAACCAAACAAAAAACCCACAGAACAGATTTTACAGGTTTATTATTAATATTAACAAAAACAATTAAAATTGAAAGTCATTTAAAAGAGGAGGGCCAGAGTGACAGTACAGGAGTAAGGCACTTGTGATGCACTTGTGATGATCCCAGTACTATCCCTAAGCACCATCAAGAGTGACCCCTCAGCACAGAGTCAGGACTAAGCCCAGGGTATTGCCCAGTGTGTCCAAATCCTTCTAATCCCCCCCCGCAAAAAAAGAGGGAAAAAGAAAAGGGACTTTTATTAAGTGCCTGTACATTAAGCACTGTACAGGGTGCCCAATTCATAACATTCTCCACCCCCCTCAAGAAAGCTTAGTTGAAATCTGTTATTTCGATCATTAATATTCTATATAAACACTTTTTGGTGAAAAATGCAATGCCTTAACTCTAATATCAGAAACAAGGCAATGTCTTCACCATTTCTTTTTCACTCTGGACTGATGAAAACAAAGGAAAAAATGTCAAAAGGAATCCAGAGCAGAAAGCAAAAAGAAAATTGTCATTATTAGTAGCTGTGACAATCATTTATATAGAAAAACCTTTGATATCTACAAAAAAGATGCTAGAATTATACAAATATAGTAAAACTATTTTAAAAATACAAAAAACTAGCCATCTTATTATGCTAGCAACGTACAATCAAAAATTGAAATAAAATACAATTTTAGGGAATATAAAAACATTATTGTAGGTTTGCTATGGGAACAAGCTTGAGGGGTGGTTGGGAAAATGGAGACAATGGTGGACGGTAGGTGATAGTGGGGTGGGCTTGGTGTTGGAATATTGAATGCCTGTAACAAATCATCACAAACAACTTTGTAAACCATGGTTTTTAAATAAAGTGGGGTTGGGGTAGCGTGTGTGTGTGTGTGTGTGTGTGTAGCTGGTCCCAGGATGGAGAGACTGTTTGAGGCCACTAGCCACTGGTCGAGCCCTAATGTACCCCAGTCCACCAGTCCCTACATGAAGGAGCGAAGAGCAACGACTCCACATCTCAGGCAGCAAGGTTCCACTGACTCAAAGCTGAGACAGTGAGCACCTAAGGCTTGACAGCATAGACAAAACTGCAATAAGATGAGACATAAACGTGACCCCTTGCGCAAGGAAGATACACAAAATCATGAAGCTGTCCACAAATGCAAAAAGAAAGTTCCAGACCAATTTCACACATAAACACAGATGCAAAACCCCTAAGTACAAAATTATGAACTGAATCTATTTTTATGTTGCTGGTGTGAATCAGTAGACCAGACTCTCACCACTACCATCCACACAGCACCAGACACAATGAGAAATGAAGGAATTTACCTGCACTAATGGAAGAAAAAAGCCTGGGAAGGGCTTCAAGCATACAAGAGCTCTTTACTCTCCTGCTGAGGAATTCAGTGCGACATAGTTAGGCTGCCCATTGAATTAAACAACAGAAGAGAGCTTCAATGAGAAAATGAAAAGTAGGAGAAAACTTCAATCAGAAGGGACACTGGAGAAAAAAAACTAAAAATCAATAAAAATCACAATGGAACAGCAAAATGAGAATACGCAGAAGAAAATGAGACAGGCAGAAAACTAAATCAGTGTGCTTTAGAACAAGATGCAGAAACCACTGAGAAAGAACAGAAGAAGGAAAAACACTTTTAAGCAATGAAGAAAATAGAGACTGCAGTGGAAGGCCAGCAAATGGGGCATTTGCCTTGCATGGAGCTGACCTGGATTCAATCCCTGGCATCCCATATGGTCCCCTGAGACTATCAGGAGTAATTCCTGAGTGCAGAGCCAAGAGTAAGCTCTAAGTATCATCAGGCCCCAAAGTAAAATAAAACAACCAAAAAAAAAAAAGAAGAAGAAAATGTGGGAGATGTACAGACAGCCACAAGAGAAACAATATTGAATTATAGGGGTTCTGGACAGAGAAGAAAGAATACAGAAGTTTTGACAGAAGAAAAAGCAGGCAAGAACTTCTCCAAGTGGAGGATTGACTCAAACTCAAAAAAGCACAAAGAGGGGGCTGGAGCAATAGTACAAGGGATAGGGTGTCTGCCTTGCACACAGTCACCCCGGGTTCAATTCCCAGCATCCCATACGATCCCCTGAGCATGGCCAGGAGTAATTCCTGAGTGCATGAGCCAGAAGTAACCCCTGTGCATTGCCGGCTGTGACCCCAAAATAAAAAAAAATATATTAAAATATTTTTAAAAAAAGCACAAAGAGTTTCCAATAGAATGTACCCAAATGAAACATCAAGAAACATCATGATTAAAATAGGAAGAGCCAAAGACAGAGATACAATTCTAAAGGCAGAGTAAAACAACAACAACAATACACTACCTATAAGGGAATTTCAAGAAGACTATGGCAGATCTTTCAAATAAAGCCTTACAGGTTAGAAGGGAATGGAACTATATAACCTCTGCACCGAATGAAATAAGCATCCAACAGGAATACTTTATCAAGGTAGGTTATCATTCAAATTCGAAGCCATGGCATAAAACTTCTTTGACAAAAACACCAGCTAAAGAAGTTCATGGGCACTAAACAAGCACTATAAGATGCACTAAATGGATTCATACATCTATATATATACTATATATATATATCAATACTTAATACTCTTTAAAATATAAGCACCAAATGGGAGTGTCAAGATATGTAAAGCAATGACTAGAAGCCTGAGAAAAATATCAACAATAATCCAACATCATAGATTTTAATACCAGCCTCTCACCACCGGATAGATTAACCACCAGAGAGAATCAATACAGAAATGGAGGCACTGAAGAAAAAAAATGGATGAAGTGCGTTTACTAGACATTTACAGATCTCTTTATCCTCCATAAGCTGAGTACAAATCTTCAGTACATATAAATCATTCTCTAGGATAGACCACATGCTGGGACACAAAACAAGTTTACACAAAATTAGGAAAATGGAAGTCATCACAAGTATCCTATCAGATTATAACATTTTGAAGACAATTAAAAAAACAAAAATAAAAAACTGGCAGAAACTCAAAACATTTCAACAATCTACTACTGAAAACCACTGGGTCAAAAAAAAAAAAGAAAGAAAGAAATCAAACAATAGGTTTAAAAGATTCCTGAATAACAAGCAATAATGGAAACATGAGCTACTGGATCTCATAGGACACAGCAAAAGTTCTACTAAGAGGAAAGTTTACAGCAACACAGAGAGTCACAGAAAACAAGAATAAGCACAAATAAATAACCTACCCTCTCACCTCAAAAAGCCAGACAATAACTCCACAAAAAAGTCAAAAGTAGGAGGAAAACAATAAAAATATGAGCAGAGATCAATGATAAAGAAATGAAAGACACAACAAAACAAAAAAATAAAATCAAGAACTGAGGGTTTGAGGCTTTTTTAAAAAAAAAAGTATTAATAAGATCTAACAAACTGCTGGGCAAGATCACAAACAAGAGAGAAGACTGACAAATTAGATCAGAAATGAAAAGGGAGAAGTTACAATACACACCTCAGGAATACAAAAGTTCATAATTTCCTAACAACTTTATGCCATCAAATTGGAGAAAATAGAAGATATGGATATATTTCTGGTCTTCCAACATCACAAGACTGAGTAAGGAGGAAGAAGAACATCTGAAAAGAACCATTACTACAATGGAAAATGAGACAGTTAACAAAAGATTCTCAAAAACAAAAACCTGTGTTGAGATGGGTTCACCGGTAAATTCTTCCAAAGCTTCGATGAGGACCAACAACCCATCCCTCTCAAGCTCTTCCAGGAAGAGGAGTAAACAGAAATCCTCCTAAATAGTTTCTATGAGACCACCATAACATTACTTTGATACCCAAAACAAAGGACTAATATCCAAGTTACATAAAGCATTCACAAACCTCTACACAAGAACACAATCTCACAAAAAAACAGATACTGGGCCGGAGCGATAGCACAGTGGGTAGGGCGTTTGCCTTGCATGCGGATGACCTGGGTTCAATCCCCAGCATCCCATATGGTCCCCCAAGCACTGCCAGGAGTAATTCCTGAGTGCAAAGCCAGCAGTAACCCCTGAGCATTGCTGGGTGTGACCCAAAAAGCAAAAAAAAAAAAAAAAAAAAAAAAAGATTCTACTGCAAAGAAGACATAAAGATAGCCAACAGGTATATGATAAAGTGTGATGGAATGAATGAATCTCAAAATAGTTACACTGAGTGAAAGAAGGGGGGATGGTTGAGAGTGGCTGTATGATTCCATTTATATTAGATTATAGAAAATGCAAATTAATCCATAGTGAAACAAATCAGTGGTTGCCTAGGAAACAGAAAGGACAGTACAGGAGTGGGTAATTTCAAAGGAGTACAAGAAAATTCAGAGAGTGACGGTAAGAGACTTATTATGGTCATGATTTCACAAGTTTAAGTATGTGAAATTGATCAAAGTGTAAATTTTAAATATGTATGATTTGTTGAATGTTAATTATGACCCAAACACTGTCAAAAATTTAATGGTAAAAGAGTCATCCAAAGGATCAACTTCTGCTTTTAAATTATATTTTCTTAATTACTGAACCATTTTGGTCAAGGTAACTCTGCTACAAACTATAATATTAAAACAATCAATTCTTTAAAACAGAATTACTTTCCAGGAGAAATATGCAAAAGCAAATGAAATGAACAATTCACATTCATTATCTTTTTAATGGGTTCATAATTATTTGATTGATATCTGTGAGTCCTATACATACAAATTACATGTGGGAAGAGTATATTAAAAAATGAACACTACCTTGATTTGTGCAAAGGGTCTTTCATAACCTCCAACATAGAGAAGACCAACATTCTGAGGAAGTAACCTGAAAAAGAAAAAAATATATTATTTATGTACTTCCTTAAATATAAGGTTCTTTAATTACCGAGTTTTATATTATCAGACAGTGTGAAAAATTAGCATCTATGCAATTATTCTTACCTTTTGACTTAGAGGCAGTAGCTAGCAAAGGAATAATTTGTAAACTTCAGAAAGTAAGAAAATATTAAGAATGGAAATTTAAATGCAAAACATTCTAATATATTATCAATTCTGGAAAAAATACTATAAAATGTCCCTGGGGGAGAATTAAAAAGAAGCAATGCATACATTAAAAAATCCCTAAGAACTTAATCCAAGAAACATATTTTGCATATTTATGCTATATACTACAGGAAATAATATAAATCTAATTTAGTCACAACGCCTAACAGGAAAACTATCATAGTGAAACTCATCATTTTCAAATTAGTGGATTAATAAGAAGTTACTGCTGTGGAGAGTCTAGACAAGTTGGGATATGTTAGCTTTTTTTTTTCTTTCTTTTGCTTTTTGGGTCACACCCGGCGATGCTCAGGGGTTACTCCTGGCTCTTCACTCCGGAGTTATTCCTGACAGTGCTCAGGAGACCACATGGGATGCTGGGAATCGAACCCGGGTCACCCGCGTGCAAGGCAAACGCCCTACACGCTGTGCTATCTCTCCAGCCCTGGATGTGTGGGCTTTGGAGTTACTCTTAAATGGTAGTAGGAGAAAGAAAAAGTTAAAACCTTGTGAATGCAGATCTGAGACAAAGTAAAAAGTATAGCAAGAGTATGGGGTAATTTAGAAAAGAGATAAAAATCTAAAGGAGAGCCCAAGCAATAGCATAGCAGGTAGGGCACTTGCCTTGCACATGGTAAATTGGGTTCAATCCCTGGCACCACAAATGGTCCCCTGAGGCCACCACGAGTGACCCCTGAGCACAGAGCCAGGAGTAAGCCCTAAGCATTGCCACTTGTAATCTAAAAATCCCCACCCCACCCCCCAGAAAAAAAATCTAAAAGAAGAGTTGGCTCTCAGAAGTGAGAGCCCCACTCCCAAGTGGGAGTGTGAAAGGTGATGAAAAGCTGAAAATAGATCATGGGGAAAGGATATTAGTACTGTGGTGGTGGGTACTGTATGGTGACATACATTTGAAGATGTCTGAAGCTGTATGAACAAAACATGTATAGCAAATGTATACATATAAGGCATATGTCACACATGCGTAAACCAGCATTAGTTCAACGTAAAAGAAAATGAAAGAGTTTGAAAAGACCAGGCAAAACAGCAAATGCCATAAACTTTATTTTGCAAGCTATACAGAATTTTTTCCCCCCACAGTTACTGTCACTGTCCTCCCATTGTTCAATGATTTGCTCAAGTGGGTCCAGTAACATTGTAAGACTTGTTACTATGTTTGGCATATCCAATACATCACGGGTAGCTTGCTAGGCTTTGCCGTGGTAGCTTGCTAGGCATTGCTGTGATAATTTTTCCAATATATATTTATTTCTTATAAAACATTAAATGCATATGACAGCAAAACTCAATATAAAGAACATGGAAGAATTAAAGGTTACCTTCCCTACATCACCCCTTTCTGTTCTCACTTCAAAGAGGCTCATCATTCAGGATTGCATGAAAACATTGTGAATGAAGAGATACCATCATCAGAAGTATGATTCTGGAGCAAGTAGTGGCATGTGCATAAGAATGTATAGTGAAATGGTCTTGTTTTTCTCTTAAGTTTTAAAATCACAAACCTCTTCCAAATGGAAATTGTGAGCAAATGCATACAATTCCAGTCTTCTAACTTACAAAGAAAGAATATTAGAGGGAGAAGGCGGGAAAATGCCAATAATCCTTCCTCAAAGGCCAAAATACATAATTAAATTTAATAGCAATTTATGACAGATAAAAAGAATTCTAAGAATTTCAAGGATGACACAATTTTATTTTTAATTTTTATTAGTGACAAACCAAGAGGTACAGTTGCAGACTTACAAATTTTTGTGCTTGGGTTTCAATTATACAATGATTAAGTACCCATCCCTCCACCAGTGCCCATTTTCCACCACCAGGGATCCCAGTATCCCTCCCACCCTGCCTCTGTGGCAGGGCATTCCCTTTTGTTCTCTCTCTCCTTTTGGGTGCTGTGGTTTGCAAAAGAGGCACTGAGTGGCAATCATGTTCGGTCTATAGTCTACTTTCAGCATGCTTCTCCCATTCTGGGAGGGTCCTCCCAATACCCTTTATTTGGTGCTCCCTTCTCTATCTGAGTATCGAGCTCCCTTTTCCCCTAGCATGTGTGGCTGGCCTCCAAGCCATGGAGTAAACCTCCTGGTACTTATCTCAACTATTCTTGGGTCTTAGTCTCCTATTTTGTTACTTTATGTTCCCCAGATGAATGCAATCTTTCTATGTCTGTCCCTCTCTTTCTGACTCATTTCGCTTAGCATGATACTTTCCATGTAGGCAGCAGGGCATTTGCCTTGCACGCAGCCAACATGGCCGACCCGAGTTCAATTCCTCTGCCCCTCTCAGAGAGCCCGGCAAGCTACCGAGAGTATCTCGCCCGCACGGCAGAGCCTGGCAAGCTCCCTGTGACATATTCGATATGCCAGACACAGTAACAACAATGTCTCCAATGGAGACGTTACTGGGCCCGCTCGAGCAAATCGATGATCAACGGGAGGGCCTTTACTTTACTTTTACTTACCACTTGTATGTAAATTTCATGAATTCATCTTTTCTAAAAGCTACATAGTACTCCATTGTGTAGATGTACCAAAGTTTCTTTAACCAGAAGATGACACAATTCTAAGGTAAGAAACTGAGCATGAAACATTTCTATTACATGAAGGGTAAAACTACGAAACAAAAAATCTAATGAAAAATTTTCAATGTGTCATACTGGTGTCAACAAAAACTCAGAACACAAGAATACCATAACCTTTCCTTAAATTTGGTGACTTAGTCACTAACTTTAACTTTATAGTCAGAGACTATAAAACCCAGCTCCAGGAAGCACACGGCCGCATTTGTGGCCGTGCCACATCTTATTATCTCATTCCTACTTTGGACAAACTGGCAGGCTACCGAATGTAACCTGCCCACACGGCAGAGTCTGGCAAACTCCCCGTGGCGTACCCAATATGCCAAACACCAGTAACAATGATGGGTCTCATTCTCCTAACCCTGAAAGAGTCTTGAATATGGCACTTTTAAAAACAAATCTCAGGGCGAGGATGAAGGAGACGTTACTGGGGCCTGCTCGAGGCAATCGACGAACAACAGGATGGTCGTGATCATCGTGAGTCACTAACTTGAATTACTGACTTCTACAATAAATCCAGTATTTTATTCAATTTCTTTAAAGGAAGGGTGCTATGAAGGGGCAGGTGTTGGAACATTATATGACTGAATCCAATCATGAACAACTTTGTAACTGTGTATCTCACGGTGATTCAAAGATAGATAGATAGATAGATAGATAGATAGATAGATAGATAGATAGGATGGAGGATACCTCTGTTACTAGGTAATAGTGATGAGGGGAATAGGAGTAGGGGTTGTATAGCTAAGAGACTAATCTAAAATTAGAAGAAATTCAGTCATCTAGGAACATCTTCTAATCCCTATATCCTTTAAAGGCCCGTGAAGCAATAAAGGTCAATGAGAAGAATGCTAATAGCTGATCAACAGAATCACGTGGTCAAAAGAATCCTGAATTAAACCAATCACGTGAAAAAGCTACAGGCCAGGAATGTGGTTCAGTGGAAGAGCACTTGCTATGGATGAGTGAGGCCAACTCTTGCTAGCACTGCCAAAACAAAAAGCTCCTCAACTTTAGAATGTTGACACTTTGAGCAGAAAAATTTTAGCATGTTGTTGATAGTTACAAGTGAAGGCACTTTTTCTTAGATACAAATAGAAACCTGGGACTCCACGCCAGGCTGTTTCCACTTGGGAAGCACCAGAGGGGAATAGGCGAAAGCCCTCCCGGCCCCAAGGGCAGCCAACCTCCACTACCCCACAGCCGCCACACTCCAGGCCGCTTTCTGGACCACCTGCTCGACACATCATGGGACACTTCCTACCCATTGTCCATAATTAGCACACTATATTTGATGTGATCCAGACAGTGGGCAACAGATCACAGAGAGAAATACACACACACACATACACACACCTCTCGGAGTGCAGAGCAAGCTACCAAGAATATCCCGTCCGCAAGGGCAGAGCCTGGCAAGCTACCCGTGTCGTATTCGATATGCCAAAACCAGTAACTATAACGGGTTTCATTTCCCTGACCCTGAAATAACCTCCAATCGTTGGGAGAGATGAGTAAGGAGAGGCTGCTAAAATCTCAGGACTGGAACGAATAGAGACGTTACTGGTGGCTGCTCGAGTAAACTCACGAACAATGGGATGAGAGTGATACAGCAATACAAACAGAAAACATACAAAAAAAATGTCTTTAGAGGCTGGAGCGATAGTACAGCGGGTAGGGCGTTTGCCTTGCACACGGCCAACCCGGGTTAGATTCCCAGCATCCCATGTGGTCTCCTGAGCACTGTCAGGAGTGATTCCTGAGTGAAGAGCCAGGAGTAACCCCTGTGCATTGCAGAGTGTGACCCAAAAAGCAAAAGCAAAAACAAAAAAGTCTTTAAATATCTACAAATCATGTCTGCAACATGGTCACTTTCTTAGTCATCATTCGATGAGTAAGAAATCGATCCAGAGGCCAGGAACAGCAGAGCAAATAGAGGGCATGAGCAAGGCCCTGGTTCCTGTTCCTGGCCCTACATATAACCCTCACCTCCCCATATGGCCTCAGTAACCTCTGAACACCGCTGCAAGTGGCCCCCAAAGCAGCACTGACAAAAAACTTAATCTACGCTATAAAACTTTAGGTTTTTCAACCTAAAGTTACCATTTCTCACCTAAAATTCTACCATTACCAGTAAGTAGCACAAGTTTAATGTTGGTTATATATAGCAATGGTAATATATTCTCAAT